TGAGATGATTCGAATCGTTCTCTTTGCTCCTGGAGAGAAACCGTTTTGTGGTAGGAAAAAAGAGCACTCCAGTGTCGAAAAACTGTCTATGAATATTGGGCGTTTCTTCTCGTCTGCAATAGACAACCGCGAATATCTACTATTTCTTCGACATCAAATACCCTGTCAGCTTTTTGACACAGGCTGGGCAAAATTAGTTAGTTCTGTGGCTTTTGATGGTGTTGTTCACCACGTCGTGCCACACCACTTTTTTTTGCTTTCAATGGACTCTCGTCCAGTAACCGTCAAAGGTTTGCTCTGGTTAAGTGAGTTGTTGTTGAGAAGTTAGCCAGGAATTGCTGTATCAATGCTCTTCTACTGCTTTTTCTCACTTCTATTGAAATCGTAGGTGCTCTGGAACAGGGAGCTAGCAGCTAGAATATGAAACTTTTCGGCAAGTCAAACAAAAGTCTGCCATAATCTACGAATCGATAAAAATTGCTGTAAAAAATTGCTCTTCATACAAAACCTTAAAAGTCTAAATACTGGCCCTTTACCGGGGAATTAGCTTGAAAATTAAGCTCTTCGCTGTTTGTTTTTATTTGCAATTTACAATTAAAATTGAAGGAATTTTTGATCAGCGGAAAGTTTCAACTGTTATCAGGATGTGCATCGTCAGGTAAATTTCATTTTTTTTCAGGATGTGCATCATTAGTTTTTTCAAAATAAACTAATCTAATGGACGACAAATCATCAAATAACAATTTTTTTCTCAACAATAATTAAGATAAGTCTCGATTTCAAAACGACCCCTGTTAAAAATTAGCCAATCACAGTTGAACTCTAAAATTATTGTTCAGCTAGAATACTTTCAACCTTTTAAACTAATTAAAAGATTTTAAATTTAAAATCTTTTAATTAGTTTAAAAGGTTGAAAGTATTCCACATTTGAAGCCAAAACATAACAAGCAAAAATGTTTTTGGACTGCAAAATTTTCATTCAGTTTCTGGAAAAAGAAATCATTTTGTTATTTGCTGATTAGTTAATCTCTCTGAAGCTTTCGGTTTTTTTGGCCATAACCATTTACAGCAAAAAAACCAAGTTTTTCCTAGTTTCATAAAATTTGCCACTAACGACCTAAAACGGAAAACAGTAGTCAATAATACTTAATCTCACTTCTTCATTGTTGTCCCACAGGACAATTTTTTAGGACATCTCTTTTCAACTTGTCCATTTATCATCTTAACAAGCAACTGACTAAAACCGGCCAAATATTGCACTGACAAAATTCTCTTCTATAAAATAATATATCAACGTTTTATGTTTTTTTCCAAAAGCACATATCAAAATCTTATGCTGAACAATAGAGCCTATTTTTTCAAATAGGAAACATGCTAGATGAGAAGACAAAGAACTCTATAGCTCTGGCCAGAAAAAGAAAGGCCTTTTGCTTGGCATTATTGAAGAAAGGCCTTATGTTAAAAATTTTGGAGTAATTCTAGACCAATTCTTGAAACAACAAGAGGGGTTTAAAATGATTTTGAGAAAAAGCGCTGGTTCAATAAGTTTATCATTTATATTTTTAAAAATGAGGTGGGCAATTAGGACTTTTTGCAGTGGTTGCGCAAAATTCAATGCATCTTCTGATGTAAACTTACAGCCTGAAGTTTCATACTAACAATTTTTCTTGGCCGTAACATACATATACTACTATTAGCTCTTGAGAAAACTAAATTTGAATAAAATAACAAAAACATTAATAGTAGAAAAAAAAACTATTCTTTGTCAACTACGTAAATGAGCAATACATTGATAACTTTGTAAATAAAAACAGGCACTGTTTTGGAAACGATTACATGATGATAAACTTATTTTGATGATGCCCTTACTTTTAAAAGATTAAAAATAGCATTTATAAATTCTATTGATTGAATAAAAAAATTCAACATTGGCAATCTATGGAAAAGTTTTGACGGTTTTCAAATAATTTCACGGACTTCTACAATTTTGTTTTCAAAGGCTATTTTTAGTAGTTTTTCTTGTTTTCTCATGTTTATTATTAAACACAATTCAAAAAATACAACATTACTTACCAAGGTGAACTTGTTTTCAATTGGCAAAAAAAATGTTTTTTTTTTCCTATTTTGACTAATTCAGTTTGACGACCTCTATCGAAATTGCATTTTCAAATTCTTTTTTACGCAATTAACACTACTGTCTCAAGTTAATTGGACACCTGAAAGATCAAAAAACCAGTATCATCCTCAAAAAAATTCTGCAACTCAAATAATAATACCTTAGGATACTTTTTGCATTGGTTCGCTTTTTTCACATCTTATGGCGAACCGACGCAAAATAACTGTTCTTGATGTCACCGGACAATTTTGAAAGCCCTTTTCTGAGTTTAAGAGTTCAATCTATAGCGTCTCTCATCGGACAGCTGCTTTTTCTGTTCTTAAAAGGATGAAAATCTTTAGAATTTACTATAGTATAGTTCGGTAAAAAAAACACTTTATTTGCCAGTTGAAAGAATATTTGAATGCATGTACAAGTAAAAGTCATCTTGTTATAATTTTGGTTGTCAGGTACAACAAAATATTAGAAATTTTTAGCATTTAGTCGATAGAATCATAACCTCCCGCATTTTTTTTAAAACAAATTTAAATATTTCCATAAATTTTTCCGTAAGTTGCCAACGTGGGATTTTCTTTAAGAATAAGTAATAGTTAATAGGTAAGAGTTCTTTAATAGGTAACAGCTAATACTTCTTAAACATTGTTTTTGCTTTTCTCAAGTAGGAGTAATCTTAAATTTGATCTGTCATCATTGTATCTGTTCCAAATTGTAACTGGTTTCTTAAAATTGAGTTTTCAATGTAATGCCATTGAATCTTTCGACAAAAAAACATATTTTTTGTGCCCGGGTTGACCTCAATAGACCGAAAATGCTAATTATACAATTTCATACACTTAGTCTTTGGAAAAATGCTAGTCATACAAATTTCATACATTTTTGCAAAATGAGTTTAATCGAATTTCAGGTATAGTTGTTTTGGTATAGTTCTTTTGGTATCGAAATTGGTCTCTTCATAAAAAAAAGGGAAAAAAATGGTATGAAAAAAATGCTAGTCATACAATTTCCATATTTGGAAATTGTGTGACTAGCATTTTTTTGATGACGACGACAAAAATTTTTCAAAGTATATTTGAAATTGCCCCCAAAAATTTTTTTGTGTTTTTTTTCTAACGAAAAATGATTTTCGTATTCAAACAAACATTTTTTGAAAAAAAAATTTTTGCATGCAAAATTTAATTTTTTGTGTGTATAACGTAGTCCTGGATATAATAATATTGGATTTTTTTTCTTTTTCTCTTCATAACTTTTTTCAAAAACGCTTAAAACTCCTCTTTCTTTTGTATGAAATGTTTTTGTATGCCTTGATCAATGTCTGGTAATTTAAAAATTCAAATTTTAGAAATAATCATCTTTGAAAATTATTGCCAAAATTTAAAAGTTCATTACTTTTGTTATATTATTTGTGTGAGACAGAAGTAACAAATATCAGGCTGTTTCCAATGCATTTTTAATGCGAGACGACCAAACCTTTGGTTACTACGTTTGAGTAATCAAGGTTTATGTCATTTGTGTTCGGTTACGAACACAACCAAAAAATTTTGAGAAACTAAAATGTAAAAAATCAAAATTTTTGGTTTATGGAAAAATGCTAGTCATACAATTTCCATATATGAAAAATACTAATCATAGACCTTTCATGCAATTTTCTGTACGTATGGAATTGTATGGAAAGTGTATGACTAGCATTTTTCCATATATGGAAATTGTATGACTAGTAATTTTGGTCATCCCGGGTGTTCATATTTGAGCGATTGTTCTAAAATTAATTTGTTTGTAAGCTGGTTAAAGCTAGAGGTGCTGTACATCTACAAAAACAGCAGCAACAAAAAATGTACAACAAAAAACTTTTTGATAGAGAAAAGAATCTTTAACCCTAAAAAACGAAACTATAACAAAAAAAAACATCTTTCCATGTTGGTTTTATTATTTTGTATTAGTTTTGATCAGTGCAACCAATTTCTTCGGTTTTAGGCTCATGGTGTGCAGAGACTTGAGTTGAGTCAGAAAGTTCTGGAAAGATAGGGAATGGTCTCAGTTAAATTAAATAATCTCCGTTTCTTGTCACGTTGATTAACTGCTTCTTGTTCGGTTTGTCTTTGCAGGGGAACCTTCCATTGGTCTCAAATTTGAAGGGCGAAAAGTTTCGTAGAGCAAAAAATTTTGAAATTGAAAAATTTTTGAAGGAGAAAAAGTTTTGAAGGGCAAAAACTTTTTAAGCACAATAAAATACTATTTTAAATTTTTTTCGCAAGAGTTTGCACGTCTTTAACAAATCTCTGAAAGATCCAAAGAGACTAACAAAAAAAATTTCAATCGAAAGAAAGAGCATAAAAACAGCAACTTCAAGCTTTGCTTCGACTGCGTTCGACATACGCTCTGACTAGTTCAGCACAGTCAGGCTATGTTTCGACCAGCCAGACGTGTTTCTACTGTGCAAGATATGTTTTTGACGGCAACCTGGGTCGAGGTGCTCAAAAATCGGGATGTTTCCACCATCTCGATCGAAAGTCGAGTAAGTTTCGGCCCAAAACATTAAGTCAAAACAGTCTCAAATTCGTTCGAGTTTAAAGTCGGAGTTCATCCCAACAACTTATGCTCACCTCTCGAACACTGACTTGCAGTCGCCCAATCAGCTTTCTTTTAAAGTCAAAGACGGTTTTGGCCACCAAGTTCTACGGCGACTCAATTGATTGACTTGTGAGCAACCAACCCCCTTACCCACTGAATTTGATTGTATCCGTATTAATTCCATATATGATGACCTGTATTCTTCAACTCGTCCCGTAATGGATAATATCCAGCAAGGAGTTGAACAAAAGTTTTAAAACCTGAACTCAGCTTGTTTCGGTGACTTATGTCGAGATCGTGTAAAATGTAATGACCTTTCTTTTTATTAGGGAACTATAATATATGCTCCATAACCAATATACATAAATTTACAAACTATTTATTATAGATCCAGCACTGACTATAATTCGTTATAACTCGATTGCACCATAATCTACTGAAGACAACTGCAACTAAAAATTAAGATGAAAACTAAGAATAATTCTGTTTAAAAACTGCAAACTGCATCTACTGATTACGCGTGGTGTTGTGAACTATAATTAATACGATAGTAAAGTTTATTTCAAACTAAATGGAACGAAAAAACTCATTAATATTGCTGTCCAAGAACAGCCACTTCAATGAGCTATTGATTTTTCAGTGATTTGCTCAAAACTTACAAATACAACTCATAATCAAATAACTAAGTAGTTATAAACGACAAATCATCTAAATTGTATTTTGTAATAAGTGTTTTCTATTTTTTTTTCATTTCAACAATTTTCTGTGAAAAATCGTTTTAATATGCTGTTCGTGTTTGTCACTTGTAATTGATCTTCGATATTTTGAAATACTATCAAATTATTTCTTGGCGATTGGAAAAAAGTTACCACGAATTTCAAGATTTTTCTGTTACTTTCGTTTAAATACTACATTTTTTCATGATAGCAGAAATTTAGTCATCTTGTACATTCATCTTTACTTTTGTCTCGTAGGACTTGTGCAAATAGACAGACCAGTAGATGACCATCATGGTGAAAAAAGAGAGCGGGAAAAAGTATCGAGAAAATCTGTCGATGGCCCCTACATTGAATCGTTTCTTCTCGCTTTGATTGAATATTTTGTTGGAGAGTGCCTGTTTCAGTTTGGTGTAGGGAGTGCTGCCACGTCCGGGGAAGTTGCTGTAGCTGCCGTCCAGGGCTCTGGATCGGTTGGAAGGGGCACCCGCAAGTTGCATGTGGGGGGCTTGGGCGCTGTTGGAAGGGTGCCACGAACTGGGAACTGGTGGTCCGCCCATCATGAAATCCTAAGGCAGTTACGATTTCAAGAAGTTACAATTTCAACATCGACAAGTCCAAATATTTATACTTCAATTTATAAATCGCCTAATCGGCTGTTTTGATAGCTTCTTTGATAGACAAAAATTTTAGTTATTCGAGCTCATTTTCAATTTACATTCGTGAATGTGCATTTTCATATAAAATATATAATTGAGATTAATAAAAATTAGCCGCTGTCAAAGAGATCATTTTTAGTCGAAGATGATATGTGTCACATACGGATGGTTTTACAGCAAAATAAAGCAGAATGCTATATTTTTAAATACTAATGCTTCTTCAGGACGCCAATGATAAATTTCCAGGACTAATGTTTTTTTATTCGGAAAGTTTATAAATAACCGGATTGCAAAGCTTGTGAACGAGAGCATAAAAGCACCCACCCTATGTTTCATTGAGGACTTCTTAATCTTGGGTGGGGACTGGGGCTTGTCCAGATAACACACGGCTGCGAACTCGATGAGACTGGCAAAGACGAATAAGAAGCAGGAGGCGAAGTATACGTCAATGGCCTTCATGTAGGATATCTTTGGCATGTTTGCATTCGTTGATGAGATTAGAGTGAGGAGGGTGAGGACAGTGGTGATTCCTAGGGCGGCTCTGGCGGGGACGGAGGAGCGTCCGACCCAGAAGGACACCCAGGAGACCATGACTATGAGGGTGGAGGGGATGTACATCTGGATGATAAAGTAGAGTGTGTTCCTGCCGAAGACGAACTTGGCACCCAGTGTCGACCAGTTGCCTAGAACAAGAGGAAAAAAAACTGTTCTTTTTTAGTTCCCTTCTTCGTTACAAATTTTTTTAGCTTAGTTTTGCGCAAGATATTATAGATTTTTCTGGAAGTATGCTTGATCTTGCGATGCGCGGGCTGTGGCATAATGCTGTCGTCGGACTTGCTGATTGGTGAATTTTAAGAAACACTAGGAAACGGTGCGGGGATTTTTTTATTGTTTTTTGGTGGGTAATTGATTTTCCGAGCTCTCCCACATCACTATACAGACCCTGTTTTGAACAAAATTTCTGCGCCGAAGGCAAATTTTTGAAGAAAAAGCCAAAAAAGCGTTTTAAGTCCTTTTTTTTAGTAAAGTGGAACCAGTTTAAAACTAGCATTTATATCCAATCAGGGGCGGATCTAGGTTTTTCTCGAGGGAGGGGGGCGGATTTTCAAAAATTTTGACGACCTTTTTTTAAGTCGACCAAATTGATTTTCTGAGCTCTGCCAAAGCAGTAAAAAGACGCTGTTTTGGCCAAATTTTCTGCGCCGTGGGGCAATTTTTGAAAAAAACAGGTCAACAGCGCGCGCTCCCCCTCAAAAATAGTATTTCTTGGCGCCAAAAATTTTAGGGTCGGTCGGCCAAAAATAGATTTCCTAAAAAGTACCAAAGGGGGGACCCTTTGAGTCGGCAGGGGGTCCAATCCCTGAGGAAGAGGCGTCCGACCCCTCCCCCCTAAATCCGCCCCTGTATCCAATTACTATAAAATGTAACACTTACTATAAAATGTATAGCTAAAACTATTCAAAGTTTCAGCGACAGAACAGAATAAACATAATTTAGCAAACAGTCGTTCTCCTTCAGAACAGTTCCTGATATCTTATCTCGCAAATACCAGTATACACTAGATCTATTGAGACTAGGAGATATAAGAGTAAGATTAAGATCGGTATTAGACTAAGAAGTTGAACGAATCTATCCGCCCGAAACTAAGATAGCGTGAGAAACAGACGGTGTAGCTTATCTGAAATTATACTATGAGTGAGCCACTCCGGGCATGAACTCAAAAGTTTGGATAAAAAATCCTCTACTGTATAGCCCTGTCTGTTTCACTTTCTGTGCTTTTTCGCATTTATAAGAGTACACAATGGGTAATTTTGAAACCTTTGGATTTTTATTGATCAAGTTAACTGTAAAATAAAATGAAACAAGAAAAAAGGCCAAAGCTTTGATGTTTAAACCAAGCCTACCATTGAAAGGCTATAGTAACAATGAAGATATTGAAAGCTAATTTTAAACAAGCGATTTTATTGATCTCAATTAAGCAACAAAAAGCCCCGGCAACATTTTTGATGATTATAGAGGAAAACCTATTGAGCAGAAACACAATAGAACACTTTTTAAATCCACTTTGAAAAAATTTGAGTTCTAATTAGGCTGAGGGTACCTATTTGTAATAGGAGATCCATACACTTAGACGTTTGACGAAGCGACGCAGCATTTCGTTTGACTGAAACAAGGCCGTAGCGCAATACAGGGTTTTTTCTAAGAAGAGGAATTGGAGCTCAAGCTTTAGGAAAAGCTTATTGTTACCTTAATAAGGGAACTATGGATATTTGTAAAGTACTTTGAATTGTAGTGGTTTTATAAAGCATTTTCACTCACTCTCTGAAAATGATTCTGAAAACCCCAAAATCAGTTCAATTTTTCTCGACATTGGCAAAACTTTTTCGATTTTCGAAAAAGAGTCAAATATCTTTTGGTTGATCCCCCATTCGCACGTGGAGGGATAGTTCAAAAGGTCCTTGAGACTGGTTTATAACTGGTTTAAAACCCGGGATGAAGTCACAGAGAAAATCAGTACTTTTCCAGAAATGTATTGGAAAATTATCAGTTCTGTATCAGATTGTGGCAATAGGCAATTTATCTCTGATCAGAGATAAATCGGAGAAAACACCGCAGCACTGTAACAGTACTGAATCGGTACTGCTACAGTACTGTTTTAATTCTGCTGTTTTTCTGAATTTTACAATATTTAAACAAAAAACTTGTTTCAAAATGAAAAGGTTGACCAAATTAGCTACATATTAAACTGACTTTTTCTATCTCAAATGAAAAACGCGCAATTATATACATTATTAAACTGATGCGCGAAGATATACATGGAGATACTTAGATACAGAATGGAGTAACAATTCTGTACACTTGCTTTTTGTTCCAACTTTCGTTACGAAAGAAACAGAGTATTTGTGCTCAAGAGGTTTTTTTCTTCAGACAATATTCGGCTTTTTAACCAGCCATTTTTGGCGGATTTTTTTATCATTCAAAACGAACTGTTGTCTTGAGCCTAAATTTGAAAAGATATTTTAACTGTGATCTTTTTTCGTAAAGTTATTTGGGTTTAAAGATTGCCATTTTGGCCAAATTGGGACAGTTAACGCGCGATATTTTTCGCGCTATTAACGCGCAAGCGGAGATTTAATCCGTCCTATAAATTGTTACAAACTGTTAGAAGGACGCTTATTTGCCATAGTTTATCTGTTACTTGTCACTTTGTTCTTTATATGGAGTGTAGGGGGATGATTTTCATAAAAATCCTCAAATTTTAAAAAACTTTCATTTCATTTTATTTATTACGTTTATTTTTTCATATTATTACTGCTCCAAAGACCTTAAAGGGCAGTTGGAACAATCATGGCCTCGCCCTGATACAAGCAGCCTTGTTTTAAATTACTTAAATTGTTAAAGTGTAGACATATGTTAGGCTGAATAGTCTGTTCTAGCTATCCTGATGCAGTGACTGATGATGCTGTAATGAATTTTTCTAGACTGTATCGAATGAATTGAAGTAAACTGATCACCTAAGTAGTAAATTCAAAACAAACAAGACTGCTTGTATCAAGGCGAAGCCTTAAATGTTACGACTGGCTTATAAGGTCTATGGAGCAGTATTAACATGAAAAAATTAAATACAATAAAAAAGTGAATTTTCAAAAAATTTCAGATTTTTTGTAAAAATATTTTCCCCACACGCTTTATTAAGTACATTTCGTTCCTAGTAACAAATCATTTATGGCAAATAAGCTTCCTTCAACCAATTTGGAACAATTTCTAAGACGGATTAAATCTCTGCTTTCGCGTTAATAGCGCGAAATATCGATCGCGCGTTCATTGCCCCAAATTGGCCAAAATGGCCAAAATGGCCAAAATGGCAATATTTAAAACCACATAACGTTACAAAAAATAATCACAGGTGAAATATTTTTCAATTTTAAGCTCAGGACAACAATACCTTTTGAATGATATAACAAATTTTGTCAAAAAAAAACTAGTTAAAAGGTCGAAATTTGTCAAAAGAACAAAAACCACCCCGAGCATAAATATTCCGCTACTTTCGTTACGAAAGTCGGAACAATAAAAAGTTTCAGGCGGTCAATTGAACGCGTGTTATCTACACATCAATCACGTGCTCACGTTTGATAAGGCCTTTTGATGAGATTTTGCGTTTTAGCTTGTGGGTGGGGAAGGGGGGGGGGGGGGTAGATTGCTGAATTGATATTGATTGATACAAAAATCACGACTAAATGCTTTCCCTTACTAATTTTCTTCGATGAATCAAAATCTGCTATGAAGAACTTTCCTCTGTGCCATAGATCGGTTCCTTTCCACTCTACAAGAGTTGTCGGAAGAACAATTTTGCTATTGCTCAGCTTTTTAAAATGATTGGTAGCTGATATATACTTGTGCTGGCTTACATGCCACCAATTGTACATACCAGTGGATAGAGATCTGTCCCATGAGCGACAGGTGAAGTTGATGACTCGGAAGTTGCTGAGAGTGATGTCTTGCGCGAGCACAATGGGGAAGTCGTCTGGGTCTAACTTCCACTTGTAGGTGATGTCGTCCGAAGTGTATCCCCAAGAGGCTATCCTCAACTCACACGACTGCACGTCCATAGGGAAGTAGGCCAGGTCCATCGGACAACGAGACGTCACAGTTACTCTAAAATCAAACAACAACAACAACTTCGATAATAGTTTCGAATACTAATTCAAACTGAATATTTTCAAACAGAACAGTTGAAAAAGTGCAGGTACTAAATCACATGAGCGGATTACGAGCAGCGGCAGGTAGGGGATGTGTTAGTTACAATCGACTCTTTTCACAAAACACGTTACGAGAAAAAAGTACCGAAACTTGATTTAAAAAAATATATATTTTTTATTAGTATCATGAAGGAAAACCAAAGATCGCAAGAAAAACAGGGAGTCGAAAAATTTTTCGGTAGGTATGCCTATAGATATGCCCTCCTTCAAAAACAATTAGACTCAAAAAGTATTCATAATTTCAGCAAAAATGGTTGAGCACACCTCATACTCATGAGAATATTTCCGTTTCCGTGCAGACGGAAGAACACATTCCTCTTTGTCACCTCATGCACATACGACTCAGTCTCAGTCTGGAAAAAGGAGTCCGGCAGCCACAGACTGGACAGGAGGTCCTGGCTCAGCACCAGCTTCTCACTCTCCGAGAACTCCTCCTCATTGTTGTTCATGCGCTCCTCCTTCGACTGATTCTTCTTGTAGTTCTTCAGGGAGAATTTGAGCCGGTCGTCCTTCCAGTACTGTCGGAAGTACAGACCCACTCGGAATGTCTGAAAGAAATGGGGTTAATGTCAAGCTAGGGTCATCTTCGACATTTAAATTTAATCGGCATCTTGAATTTTGCTAGAAAATAGATTCTTTCATTCGTTGTATAAAATAACTAGTGTTGCAATTAGAAGTAAATAAAGTTACCAGTATTTCTTTTATTATTTCAAATTTTTCTTGGGGTCAAATTGATAACTGTAAGCGCAAATATTAAACTGATTTTGTTTCACTAAAAATGACAATTGGTAAAAAATAAACAATTTTTAAAGTAGATTGGCTGAAGATTGCATCAAATTAGTAAAGTGACAGAAGTCTTTCAGGTCCAAAAATTGCCCGCCGTCCCCGACTTTTCAGCTGACAAGGAAGGGAGGAAGTCAAATAATCATACCATGTCCACTTCGGATACTGGGCCCAGACTGACCACGTACATAGTGGAGTTCACAATCAGGGCATCCCCTGAAACACATCAAACACAATGAATAAGCAGCAAACAGCATTCGATTTCTAACTGTACGGCTCATCAAGCCTAAAAATTAGCTTGAGCTTTGCGAGAAAAAGTTTTTGTTTTCCACTTCTTTCTATTGAAATCTGGTGTTTTTTGACATCTGCATTCAATTTTTATCTGTACTAGCATGTGTTTTTTTTGCTTCTTTTTCCAATCATTCATCATCAACCAATTAGTTGAAAACTACAAATTAAATTGACAGAATCGATTTGCTTTCGGAACGAAGCCTTGTTTCTCTCCATTCAAACACACACTGTAGAACTAATGAAAAGTGTCGGCTCAGTTCCTTCTTCACTGTTCAATCTGCAAAACTGACAGTCTTTTCCCGCCAAACAGAAAACTTCCTGGAGAAGAAGCACGATTAGAGAAATGGCTGAATTTTCTGAGAGGGGGAGGGGGGGAGAAAACGAGCGTTGCTGAGCGTTGAATAATTGAGTTAATTGAGAAGGTGTCTTAGTAGGTCTTAGTTTGGGGGAGTTTTTGCTTAAAAGCGAGTGGGTTTAATGAATTTGCATTCATCTAGCAGAGTAAAAGAGATAGACTTAGACAATGAGTGAAGGGTGGATACCTTCTATTAAAAAGGGGGAAGGGGCTGTCAGGGTTAAGCGGCTTTGATGGAGCTGATAACAAAACAGGCATTGACACCAGATTTGATCTGTCAATTTATCCATTAGCAGCAGAGACAGTTTACCCACTATGTGTCATTTGGATATCCTCTGCCCATTAAAAAGGCAGGCAGCAACCATCCTCAGTTAAATTAGGGTTCAATTTAGAGATAACACGGAAACTGTTTCCTAAGCTTAACGTCAAAAAGCCCCCGATGCGAATTCTGAAGCCAGCCCACCTATATATTTGGGTCTCTATAGATTATATGTTATTAATGAATATACTTTTAAATATTCTGAAGTGAAGCCCACTTTCCGATATTTTTGAGCCTGTTTTTTCTATCTTTTTTTTGTAGATATGTTTGAGGTGGGAATATTCTGTGAGTGTTATTTGCACAGCGACCGGGTGCTCATGTTTCCATTTGTACATAAGTCCGGGTTCAGGGCAATTAAGTACATTTCGGGATTGTTAGCGAGGGTATCGAATATCTCCATCGCTCTTCCAATCCAAACCCTGGGGATTGTTTCTCTATACTTGAGTTTACCAGTTTAGATACTTGACCCTCAATTTGTATTCTGAGAAGTAGCTGTTGAATACAATGGTTCAATTATGTATCCCGCCCATTGATGCTAAATTAATCGCAGTTTCGGTGGAAAAACAGTTACGCAGTTTGGATGAAGTGAAAAAAATAGAGCACTCCGCTGGTACCAAAAAGCCACGAATTGAGTGAAAAAATAATAAACAACTAAATTGTTCTGAACTTTTCTCCAGTTTATCCCTTTTGTGTTTTGGCAGAGGGTTAGAATGCATTTAAACTGTAGCTAACAACAGCCAAAAATCGTGAATATAACTGAACATCAAATTTGCACAAAATAGTTTAGCTGTGAAACCTCAAAAAAACATCTTCGGCTAAACCACATTCAGATAGTACTTTCGTTTGAAAAAAGGCTCTATTTTTAGCGCAATTCAGACACATGGGCACAGACACTTGGAAATAGTTTCAAGAATATTTTGACTAAAGATTAGTAGCCTCTGATTTTCGACTTAACATGAAAAAAATGAACTCACAGCAATTAAAAAAGCAATTAACACTTTATCATACTCTTTCGGTTGTATCTAGAACAGCCAAAGTGTTGCACAAGATACAAACCAGCTGATGAAATTTTGAGGTGAAAAATTGCAATAGGTGGCAGGTTTAATTTCTGGTCTTTCAGATACAAAAACATTAACACCTGGAATCGAACTCTTGTCTCTAGGTATTGAGTTAGGTGTGTCAGCCAATGTATTAACCTGCAAATTGTTCCAAAGACAATACTTTATTAGCCCTAGGTGTTTTCGTATAAGAATACTCCTTTGTTAGTAAATTATTGGTTTATGGACAATTCGCAGACAGGGCGATACATTGGTTGACACACCTAACTCAAGACCTTGAGACAAAAAATCGATTCCAGGTGTGAATGTTTTTGTATCTGAAAGACCAGAAACTAAAACCTGCAACATTTTACCCGCAAATTTTCATAAGATTTTTTGTATCTTGTGCAACAATTTTGCTCTCCTAGATATGGTAAAGACTATGGTAAAAATGTTAAATACTTTTTAAATGGCTGTGAAATCTGTTTTTTGTTTGTGTGTGTTAAATCGGGAAAACTGGTCATTAGACAGAAAATTCTCGAAGCTACTTCCAGGTGTCTCTGCTCATGAGTCTGAACAGCGCTAAAAAAAATTTGCCGAAACCATTTTCTTGAGGTTTCAGAGTTAAACTATTTTGTCCAAATTTGATACTCAGAGATTGTGTTACTCACAGTTTTAAAAACACGCATCAGCAAATTTTGTTAATTGCGTAAAATTAACGCTAGTCAGTGTATCGGACGAATCAGCTGCATCTCAGCGCAGAGACCTGGTTCAAACTCCTATGTGAACCGAATTTTTTCGTTGCTAAGTTATATTTGACTTGTGATTTCCGTCTATTGTAATAATCTAACTCACAGAGAACTATTTATTTTTATTGAAAAACGAGTTCGAAAATGATTTTTAAAATGATTAGGGTTGATTAATGACTTTTCTCTGCACGCATCTGTGCCAGGAATTCAGGAACCAACTCAGAATTTTATAGAAGAAACGTCACACTTTTTGAATGAAATTTTTTTTCAAAATTTTTGTTAGATCGACCAAATTGATGCTCCGAGCTCTACTCCAACATCATAAACACCATTTTAAATTTTTAAATGACAATTTTGAAGTATTGCAAAACAGGCCAAGAATGAGTTTAAGCGCGTTTTTTAATGTTTTATCAAAAAAGTTTTCAATTTTTTGGATGCGCCAAAAAGGATGATAATAAATTGCGTTAAAGAGGGGACCTTTTGGATTGTAGCCACGGGTCATTTCCAAGCTCTGAGATAAAATGCGCTTAAGGAGAGAGGGAGAGCCTGGAGAAGTCACGAATTGTTACAAAAAAACAAATCAAGCGATAGTTTGTCAAGCTTCATATCCGTAAATATTTACCATGCCTCAAAAAAGTCACAAAAACCTTGCTGCTAAAAGATTAATCAGAAAGTTCAAACTCAAATTTTGGAAGAAAGACCAAAAAACAATTTAAAAATCGACTTCTGAATTTGTGAACGTTTTTCAGCGAGGAAGAGGAGGAAGAAGAGGCGCTAAGATAGACATTATTACAAGTTACAATAGATATTTTACAATCACAACGTTAAGTAATCAACAAAAATTGTAATTTTTCATCCCTCCGGGCGTAGTTGAGAAGAAAATCAGAAACCATCAATTTTTTCTTCTAACTTGGCTGATAAACAAACAATTTTAAGCGGACTTTTCTTGACGCTGAGATATACATTTCAAATTTTTTCAGTTGGTTCAAGCACAATTAATTGGTGTTTATTCCGAACCCAAATTGCAAATTGGCCCCAATTTTTTTTGGTACTTGTTTACCTGGTCCGATATCAAAACAGAGAAAAAATGGTTCAAAAGTATCAAGAAATAGGTAGGAGAGTTTGTGAAGAGCTTTGAGTTTAAATTAAAAACATCTTTATAAAAGGATTCTCAAGAGGAAGACACGTTTCAAAAAAAAACTTTAACAATCTACAAACAATTTAAGGCCAGTTTGCTAAGAACTGACGTCGGAAAAAAGTGCCAAAAACAGAACTCTCTGTGTGGTCAGAAGGTCGGGTTTTTGAAAGAGGGAAATTTTGCGCACTCAACTCCGAAGAAGCAAGTTTTTGACACACCTATTTTCAAAAGTTTGTTTTTTTAGTTTAGATGAAAAATCATATAGTCAGGGCAAAAATCAAATTTTTGGACTTACGAAATAGATATAGTTTTATCATTTAGATCAATTAGTTGGTTAGCTGTCTTTGTATCATGCAAGTAAAGCAACTAAAACATCCATAGAGCTTTTTGTCAAAACAGTGGTCCTGTATAACAAAAAATCTGTAGCTCTATCTGTTTAAAAGTCAATTAAAACCAATAATTTAGGGATTAAAAAGAAAAATATTCAAATCCCATTTTTTTCTGCATTACAACAATATCGCTAGGGCGACAATTTGTAACAAGCGACAATTCATAACAAGCGACAATTCGTAACAAGCGACAATTAGTAACAAGACATTGGCAAGTAGAATAAGCTTGCTCCGCTTCAATCCGCTGCGCTTAAATCCGGCACGATAGGAATACTACGCGTGAATCAGTGCTCCCCGCTTAATCTATTGTTACAAAATGTCGCTTGTCACGCGTTGTCACTTGTGAGAGATGTCGCTTCGCAAATAATACGAAACCCAACCGCATTTTGCTAAATTCGGATCAAATATTTAACCCGAAATGAGTCATGCTCGTCTCCTGTATGACAAATATAATTACGCAAAAAGGAACGGGGTCAAAAATTATCCAAATTAAATTAAAAGGAGCCTCTTATGTAGCGCAACAAAATTTGAAAAGAGTATAACTTCCTTATAAAACCTACATTGTCGAAAAACATTTGCCAAAAAACGAAAAAATTATATCCAAACAAAATTAAAATAGTATTTCATGTAGTAAAATGACATTTTTTGACTATGCAACAAAGATGTAAACAATTACAAATTTTTTTTTTGAGATTATGCTTTTCTTTACCTATGTTCTACGTTGGGGTACTTAAGAGGCTCTATCTGATATAATTTGGTCATCAGTTGACTAAGTAGTTTTTGATGTAATTCTTATTTGAATAAAAGGGGCCAATATTAATTCATTCCTGGGGTAAACGTTTGGGTACAAATTTCGCAAAGTATATTATACCATATCAATTTTGGTAAAATTTAAGTTTTTTTGTTCTCATCACTTTTTGCTTCGAGCCAATTTAAAAAAAATGGTTTTAAAAATCCAATTTTGATCGTTTTGTCGGGATGACTTAAATTTATCGATTTAAAAGAAAATTGAAAAGTAACGAAATGCATCACTAGTAGACTGTAGACTCAACAATTGATCGAATAAACTCCAATAAAAGACGCAATTTTGGTCAAATATCCCAAAAAAGCTCGAAAGCGTGTTTTTTTTCCACCCAAGCGCTTCTGCACAGAAGACAATTTGAGGAAATGAATAGTTTACCTCCACTGTGTGGCCTAAGTCGCTTCTCGTATGAGTTGGGGTTGAGGATGTCCTTGAGCAGCTCCGACTCCTTGTCTGCACAACACCTCCTGCAGCAGTCAAAAAGATCACAACTCACAATCATGACGAATTTTGTTGCAAGAATAACCATTGCATCATCAACTGAGACCGAAAACCTATTCAACTTTTGTTTTCACGTTACAGTTACTCTTGTTTCAGGATGCTTCTCGAATCAGTTTAAAAAGGATGTCGGAAGACAATTTGAAAATTGGAAAATTGAAATTACTTCAATAATTTTGAATTTTTGTTTAATATCTATCTGTCTTTCCGAGGAATAGATCCGGCTGTATAACTTTTTTTCGAGCATAACTTTGATATTACCCCAGATTTAGACACATGCTGCCTATTCTATCTTATAAACCATGAAAGGGATGTTCCGGAGGCATTGTTCTGGCCGAGATACTTCATTGATTCTTTACGAGGTCATTAAAATCCATCTCCATTAATTATGCTAATTTATACCTCAGCAAGACCCGCCTCAAAAGCGCAGTTGGACACAAGACCTCAGGAAATATCCCGTTCCCACTACCTCGAGTTTCACTCATTAAAATTTCCAATTTAAGAGTATACTGAATTTTGGGACAAAAGATTTATAGCACAGGCAGTTAGAACTAACTTAGAAATAATTGAGGTAATAACTACCATTTTAGAGTATCTACAACGGTACACATTTATTGCTCTGAGGCGCACCGGGTTCCGAGTTGAAAAAGATTTTTGATCTTCAATTCTTTATTTGATCAGGAAAGAATGAGATTTATTTTTTACCCCAAAGAAATAGCAAGTCGATGAAAGGGTATGACTTAAAATTCACTTTTTCACGAATTACACTTTCAACTCAACAAGAGTCAGATACTCAATAAATTGTTTTTTTTTTGCCAAAGCTTTTGAATCAAATAGAAATGGGTTTTAAAATTTAGACATATTTTTCTGTTTATTTTAATATGAAATCTTTAATAGTGACAAAGATTCAGCGAGGCAAAAAATACAGGTGAATCCTCAATCATGTAACTAATATTTTGTGTCTTTTTATTTTTCAAACATTTACATTGTTAAAAATCACTTGAAATTTCACGTCTTGTATAAAGGCGTCAAAAACGTTAACTGCTGCCCAATAACGCGAAAAACAGGCGCACTTTGCGGAAGCCCTCTTTGATCTTTTAAAAATAGCCAATTGAGTCTGATATCAAAAAGCCATAAAAAGAGTGAGAGCGTGACAATAAAAGCATACTTGAAAATGTGTGACGCAACAGCCACCATCAGAAACACCTCAAAACTGTTGGCGTTCTTCATCTCCGATTTGATCCGATCTCAATCTGCTCTGTTTTGTGTCCTCCTCAAATCTTTGCTTTGAGGTCGTCGCAGAGTAGCATTTGAGTTCGATTCAGCTGCAGAGGAGAGCAGGAAAGAGGATCAACCTCAGCTGAAATGGAGATTTAGTTTACAATGGATATTAGAGGGTCCAATTGCAATTTAGATTGCATATTTCTCATCAAAACCTGATCACGCCGCACACGCCACTGAGCTAGTGCCAGTTGGTATTCAGGTCATAAAGGAAAGAGCGGTGCTTAAGTTGCTTTCAAGTGTTATTCTGGGCCGGAGGGTATGAATAAAATATAGACAGAGTCACATTTCAAAGTTGAAGGGTTGTTGAAAATAACCCGATCAAGGAGACAACGCTAAGGGTACTCGTACTATTGAAAACAAGATCTTGCAGACCACAATCAAATAGTAATGTAAAGATGTTTCAAAAGGTAAACAAGGAAACCAATTAAACCATTTAGAAAAAAATCTGCTCCTAAATTTTATGCTAGTGAAGACTGATAGAAAATGTGAATTTACAGGCAACAAAACTATAATTTTTGCATAGAACTTTCCCTAAAGAGAAAATGATGTAAATAAATTGAATGAGAATAATTTTTATTTTGTCCTTTACTCGTGTGAGCAAAGCACTGAATGTTCTGAAATTCCTATAACATAACTGATACTTTTATGAAGAAAAACTAATCACAATAGAAATTCATGCAGTAAAATAACAAGACTGGTCGTATATCAGGGCAAAGCCCTGAAAGTTCCGGCTGTCCTTAATTCTTATCGAATAGTTTTTGGGAAAAATATAGAAAACCTATCCATTTTGGACAATATCAAAGTGTAAACTTTGATTCGTACGAAATTAATACGACCAATGAGCTTCAATTCCACTTGGAACGATTTTGTTGTGCGGGATAATTTGCCACGCATAAATAATTCGCGTTACGCTCTCAGCATTATGAATAAACTCTTCGAAGCGCGCATAATTTAGTCCAGAACATGAAAAATTTGGCAATTTTCAAACCCCTAAAACTTTACAAAAAATAATCGGAGGTGAAATATCTTTTTACATTTAAACTCAGGAAGTTGATATCTTCAATGGGGTAAAAATAAATTTTGGTTGAAGGTTATTATTTCGACCGGTGACAATTGACTGAATAAAAACCACACCGAGCATAAATATTTCGTTTTCTTCGAAAGCCGGAACAATAAATTTTGCGTCCATTAATGTTATATGTGAATCATTTAGCTTGCCCAATTGTTCCGGCTTTCAAAGAAAGTGGCGGAATAATTGCGCTCATGGTGTTTTTTTTTAAGATAAATTTCTACTTTTTAACTAGCAATTGTTGTCAGAAATTTTTGTATCATCTCAAAGGTATTGATGGCGTGAGCTTAATGAAAAAAAATAATTTCACCTGAGATATTTTCTGTGAAATTATGGATTCAAAATATTCACCTTGGCCAATTAGAGACAATTAACGCGCGACATATTTCGTTTTTAAACGATTAAGTGGTGACTTAAGCAGGCACAAAAATCTTTCCAAAATAAATGAGACCTGTTATTTTGTCCTAGTAGTCCCTTACTTTAAATGAAACCTACCTTACACTTCATATGGCGTGTTTGTGAAATATTTTCAAATAAAACTCAAAAAAAAATTTTGAAGTTTTTCAATTCATCAGCTTTTTTTCGTTAAAAACCATTCAAAAAACTTAAAGGCAATCGAATTTTTCAGGACTTCAAACTGTTACAAGCATTTACTTTTTGCTCTTTTTTGCAATCATTTGAGCTTTCATGTGTAAACTTTTTGCTGCTTACGTAATTGGGAACCTTCGAGGATAATTTCACAAAAAATATTCGGAAGTATAAAACTTAATGTAGTTTTTAGGTCAAAGTATCAATATTTTAGAGTCTATATAAAAACTGCTAGTCAAAAATTTGAAAGTTTTTTGATGAAAAAAAAACCACATCGTGCTCCACATATTCCCTCCAATTTCGAAATCTGGACCAAAGTTGGTTGCATTTGTTTGAAAGGGTAAGTAAGTAATAGCCACATGATCAAATAATACTGAAGCTGATAATGATAAAAGTTTTAAATGATTTCAATCGGTTTTAAACAAGATTTTGATAACAATCAATCTTTTTTGCAGTTATTTTATAACTCTTTCATTTTTTTTGGTTTCTTCGACACCGAAAATTTTTTCGAATTTCTTTTATTGTAGCTCGAATTTTGTACAAAAGGTTTTAAATGGGTTTTTTTTCTGACCACCGTTCGTTTAGTTAGTTATTTCATTTCATAAGTAAAACAAAGACTTTTAGAATGTGGCAATCAGATTCTCTATCTTATAAACAAAGTTTTTTTTTAAAAAAATCTTGTTAGATAGCTTTGTTGAAAATTTGACTCAAACAAATTTTGAATTTATTTGAGCTTTTTATCTCTATCACACTTTAAATATTTTTTTACTGTAAGAATTTGATTCAAGTAGGCAAAAAGTTTCTCTGGTCAGTTTGCTCCGTTGCTTGATGAATTTGCGATCTTATCCAGTTGATTTTGTTATAAAGGGTTATATTCGACAAAACTCTTCTGATATTTTTGTTAAGTCATGTCTGAAACTATTTTGTTAACTATTAGTATTTTTGAGCGAATTACCCAAAAGCACCCAAATTAACTCAAAATCAAAAAAACCAATAAGTTTTTGAACAAACTGATTCAAACAAAATGCTCCGATAGTTTCTTCAAACTAACCAAGTTAAAAGTACACAACATAACATAGTGAAATATGGAGTAACACAGGGATCACTTTTAGGTTCTACAGCTTTTTTACATAAATAATCTTCATGTTTACCAAACAGAACAATGTGGTTCTTTGTTACAGATGAGATTAATGTCGTGAAGCTTCCAAAAAAATCATGATCTCGATATCAAAACTTAAATAATAAAGAATGACTTATAATGGACCAAGACAAAACAAAAGCAGATCTATTTAGCTCATAGAAAACAACATTTTGCATCAAATATCAAAGTGAGGCTATTCACTATCAGCCAAATATGGCGCTAGTAATTTAAGTCTTCAATTTATGAAGTGTTTTATTTAAAAGAAATGAACTCTTCTGGTTTAACATAAGGAAGTTTTTTTCTTTTTTTAATGTTAAACATTTTTTGCTGAAAAATATGAGATGATTCAAGGTTTTTGTCCCAATTTTCATAATCTCAAAACAAACACTGTATGAAATTGAAATCAGATGTTTGAAAAAAAGGTGCGTTTCCGTAAAAAAATATAAGCAATTTATTTGAAACCCAGTTAAAAGAACTTATACAAGTCAAGCTTACCATAGGCTGCCACATTTATAACTTTTATAGTTTTAGCAGCAAGGATTTAGCAACTTTTCATGTCAAGAAAATTCGACTGATTTTCAGACAATTGCCTGCAGGTGCGGAGCTAAGATTTTGTTGAGGTTGGGGGGGGGGGGATTTCAAAAAAAATTGTGTTTCCGAGCGATCCCAGGACACTATAAAGACATTTAAATGGAAAAAAGGTCAAAAATCTCTAAAATTTAATCTAAGAAACCGCATTTTTATGCCCCCCCCCCTCAAAATTAGTGTGTATTGGCGCCAAAGTCGCCTTACGAAAAATTTGAGGATCGGTTGGCCAAAAATGGATTTCTTAAAAAGTGCCAAAGGGGGACCCTTTGGGTCGGCAGGGGGTCGAATCCCTGAGGGAGGAAGGCATACGCCCCCTCCTCTAAATCTGCCAAATTATTTAGTATATGAGAGAAAAATCAGCCAATTTTGATCAAATTTAGAATTTAATGCGACTTGAAAGTTTGTTTGAAAAACTAGACTTTGGTCGAGTGTTTTGGTTCGACGATGTTCAGTTAAATGATGATTTGAGGAATGTAGTTTAATATTCCATAAAGGCCGGCAAAAGTTTACGTCTCATTTTTCATTAGAGGCAACGCCAGTTTGTCGTCTAGGAAGATTGTAATTATTTTTCAAGGTGATTTTTAAAGCAAGAATTCAGCAACTTTTGTCAAGAGAACTGAGTAGTTTTTAGTAATTAGCTCTGTCTTGTGTTAAAAATGACCTTCATTTTGTTTGGAGCCAGCAATTTTTCGAGTTAAGATTAACAACTGATTAACAAAAATGAGCTCTATCTTGAGTTAAAATTGACCTGCGTCAAAAAATTCCAAGCAATAGAATTATCTAGTACCTAAAAGCAAAATCTGCTGATTTTGTCAAACTTAAAATTTTAGTTGACCTTGAAACTGTTTGAAATAAATTTGCTGCAAAAAATGAAAAAAAAATCCTCCTATCAAGGCGAAGCCCTGAATGTTCCGACTGCTTTTTAAGGTCTATGGAGCAAAAAATAACATGGAAAATTTAATGTAATAAAATAAAATGATTTATAAAAATTAAAATTTGACAGTTTTTAAAAAAAATTATCCACCCACACGCCATATAAAGTACAAAGTGATAGATTTGGCTCTAGTAAAAAACCAATTATGGCAAATAAGCTTCCTTCAACCAATTTAGAACGATTTCTAAGACGGATTAAATCTCTGCTTACGCGTTTATTCGATTTAATAGATCGCGCGTTAATTGTCCCAAATTGGCCAAAATGGCAAAATTTAAATCCCTTTAAATATTTATACAAAAAAAATCACAGTTAAAATACCTTTTCAAATTTAAGTTCAAGACAACAATACCTTTTGAATGATATAAATATTTCCGTCAAAAATGGCTAGTTAAATAGTCGAAACTTGTCTGAAAAAAAAAACCCACCCGAGCTTAAATGTTCCGTTACTTTCGTTACGAAAGTCGGAACAAAAATGAAAATCAGGTGCGGGTCTTGGATTTTCTCGAGGGGGAGGCGTATTTTCAAAATTTTTTCGAAAGCACTAAAAAGACCCTGTTTTGGCCAATTTTTCTGCTCCGCAGGTAAAAATTTGAAAAAACATGCCAAAAAAAGCGTTTTGTAAAATGTTGACTAAAACATCGCATTTTTCGGCGCGCGCTTCTCCTCAAAATTAGTGTATATTGGCGCCAATTTTGATAAAATTTAAGATAAGGCACCAAAAATTTGAAAAAAACAGGCCAAAAAAAGCGTTTTTAGGCGCTTTTTGTAAAATTTTGACCAAAAAATTGCGTTTTTTCGGCGCACGCTCACCTCAAAATTAATGTATATTGGCGCCAAAGGCGACTTTAGAAAGTTTCAGGACCATCACTAAACATGGATATCTGCAGGGTCGGCAGGGGGTCGAAACCGTGAGGGAGGGAAAGAAGGCGTCTACCCATACCAGCCTTCGCCACCCAAATCGGCCTCTGATAAAAATGACTATGTGTGATTGTCAAATGTCAATTGCGACAGTGTATACTTGAAAAAAAAAATTATTGATCAAAGCCAGTGTCGGATCTAGGATTTTCTCGAGGGGGTGGGGGGTCTCGAATTTTTGAAAAAAGCGTTTTGGCACATTTTGGAAATTTTTGACCAAAAAAAATGCGTTTTTTGGCGCACCCCACCCCTCAAAATTAAAGTAATTTGGCGCCAAAGGCGCCTTTAGAAAAATAGAAAAATTTAGGGTCAGTCAGCCAAAAATGGATATCTCAAAATAGTACAAAGGGGGGACTCTTTGGGTGGGCAGGGTTGTCGAATCCCTGAGGGGGGGGGGGGGGGGAAGAAGGCCTACCCATCCCAGCCCTCGCCCCTAAATCAGCCTCTCATAAAAATGACTATGTGCATAAAAATTATTGCTCGAAGCCAGTGGCGGATCTAGGATTTTCTCGAGGGGTGTTGGGGGGTTGGACTTTCGAAAAAATTCCAAAATTTTGTCGACCTTTTGTTTTAGATCGACCGATTTGATTTTCTGAGGGGGGGGGGGGGGGGGGGGGGGGAAGAAGGCCTACCCATCCCAGCCCTCGCCCCTAAATCAGCCTCTCATAAAAATGACTATGTGCATAAAAATTATTGCTCGAAGCCAGTGGCGGATCTAGGATTTTCTCGAGGGGTGTTGGGGGGTTGGACTTTCGAAAAAATTCCAAAATTTTGTCGACCTTTTGTTTTAGATCGACCGATTTGATTTTCTGAGGTCTACCAAAGCATTAAAAAAAGCCTGATTTGACAAAACTTTCTGCGCCGCAGGCGAATTTTTGAAAAAAAAAGCGTTTTAGGCACATTTTGGAAATTTTTGACCAAAAAAATCATGTTTTGTTTGGCGCCGCCCCTCCCTCAAAATTAATGTAATTTGGCGCCAAAGGCGCCTTCAGAAAAACAGAAAAAGTTAGGGTCAATCAGCCAAAAATTGATATCTCAAAATAGTACAAAGGGGGACTCTTTGGGTAGGCAGGGGGTCGAATCGCTGAAGAAGGAAGGCGTCCGCCCCACACCTCCCCCCTCCCCTAAATCCGCTGGTGCTCAAAACATTAAAATTCCAAACCTTTTGATACGAGCGGCAATGAGATCAAATTTTTGTTCTCTAAAAATAGTTGACAAAGGCAATAAAGAAATAGCAATAAACGTCATTCAATATCTAATTTTTAGTCGACAATTTAGCGCCTTGGAAAAATGATGCGACTCAAAAGATCGAAATTCAATATCTTTAAATGTATGTATGAGAAGTGCCCGTCGACTTGGAGTCAATTTGAGAGTCAATTTTACAGTCTGGATAGCAAATACAGAATGGCGTAAATAGTCTGGCATACAGCCTGTCATTAGTTTAAGAAAAAAAAAATCGGTGTTTGTGAAAATAAAGTTTCATTTAGGTTTTGCGTTAAATGTTAATCTGCCTTGAAAAAAAAGACGTTCTGAAAACATAATAAGCATGTCGATCCGTCTGAAATTATCCAGATTAAAAAGGTAAAAATTAGCCAAATTTGACAGTAACATTCATAGTATATTACGTACCATATTCCGGAGAGAGAAAGCGAGTTGTTTTACAATGAGAGAATAAATTTTCAATTTTTTAGATTTCGACTGAAATTTGATTGAATTTATCAGCTGATCAGAGAGGATAATCTCAGTGAGGCTCTGCTGTTGGGGTCTATGAAGGTACGAGGGAGATTATAGCGATGATATGGTTGGACTGTAACTAGACTGTGCTATTTCTATTGTATAGTGAGTGACTTTTAGTTGGTCAAGCGGATAGAGCAGATTAAAGGCTTTGAGGGCTGAACAAATGGTCCGAGGGAAAGAAACCTGATCAATGAAAAACTCTTTTTGCTATCATTAGGCGCAATTAAATTACGAAATTGAAAAAACCTTATCTTCGTTCAGCAAAAAATTAGAAGCCCCTTTGAACGCAGCCTTTCCTGGAACGTGAATAAAAACGTTTAAATTGATTGGGTAAGGCAAAAGACGGTACCATATGCAGGCAAACACTGTTGCTCAAAATGTTCTTCAATAAATTGAGGTTCGTTGACTATATACTTTTTCACAATGAATTTAATTTTCAATTTTCAAAAACCAGTTCGTCGATTGCTCTGTGAAACCTTAACTAACAAGCAATCTTTCTGAAACAGTGGATGTTTCTGGATACTATGGGAGTGTCTGTCAATAAATAAATCATTTCGATAGTGACAACTTCAAAATATTTTGCAGCCTCTAAAACGATATCGCTAGTTAGACACAATCTCACACCTTTTTGTATAGTTAGAAGACACCTAGCAAGAAGTTGCGCCTAGAAATCTTATGTCATGCAATGTCTCTATTGCATTGAAAAGTAAAAGAGGCGTGTTTTTGAGGAGGGGGTGGGGGAGCTCTGTGAAATCTTTGGTCGCAGATAGGAGTAATTGTTCTGAAGGTGATTCCTAGTTCGCCCTACCTTCAAAGAAGCCACGAGAATTGGAAAAGATTAAAAAGAACAATGGGCCAGTAGGTAAATGCAGATGCCTTTGTAGACACGAGGCATCCTCTTGAACAAACAGAGGTAAATAATGTAAACAATTTCATTTTTATCTCGCAAATGGATAAAGTAAGTGCGAAAACAATGCACGCGTATGCCAGTTTTTTTGCTCCGGATGCATTATTTAATGAGCTACGCTCAAAAATTTCTATTCAGTCATCGCTCGACCACCCCTGCCATGGTGGGATGGTTCAAACATCCGATAGTGCGAAAATCAGAAGATGGCACGACATTAATTATGCAATATCATTACGCACTTTCAGAAAAATGAAACATGTATATATTTTCCAGAATTCTCGAATGGGAAACAAAAATTAGAGCGAAATAATTCCCAGTCGTTTCAACAAACAACGTATCAAACGCAACGAGATATAGTTATGTTGTACTACTTGAAGTTTTCAGCGCACGTACAGCGCAAGTGTTTGCAGTGGGCGTTTGATTGAACTTTGCAACATAGTCAGAACTTTCGGCCGTTGTTTGTGTCGGATAATTGGTCAGGGTTGTCTGTGTATTTACCCTCTCTCTCAGCTCAAATTCTTCTAATGGGGCGGTGTAAAAGATGCTGGTAATGATGACAGGACGACGGAGGGGAGGATGTTTTTAAGAAGTATTATTATTATTACATACTAGCTACACCAGCGTTACCTTTGGTGCTTGGGTGCTAATAAATTATGACCATGCCTGCATAAATTATCGTCTTCAGCTTGTAGTAGCAGAGTGGTAAATGCTAAATGGTCAAGTCAAGGTGGTTTCACAATAGGGTTACTACTGTTTTTGTTGCTTCATATAGTTATTTGAGGCTGTGCTTATAAAAATTTTGCACTTCTGTTTAGTTTAGAGAGTAGACAAGAAAAAAGAACACTTGGCTGATTTTGAAATTGCGTGATTCAATTCCCCAAGGAACAAAATCTTACCGGGCAGTCATTTTCAAGGCGCAATATGGTCGCGAACAGAAATGGTCACCAAATCTAGACAAGGGTTGTTGCCAAAAAGGTACTTTTACAGCCGCGTGGTGTTGAATTTTTGAGTTAAGCTTAATTACGACTGAAAATAAGTGAATATAAACGGTTTCAGTCTAAACACTGTAACAGCATAAAAATACCTGCCATTTCAATAACAAGCTAAATTGTTTTTTTTCCTGAATCAAATCGAACAAAATTAAGACGCTGACAATATGTTTACCAAGTTACAATGTACAATGTTTTTTTTTGTTGCCTTTCCCTTCGTAGAATGGCTCCATAGAAAAAAAATGAAAATGAGCATATTGCGAGTTTTCAATAAAAAACTATTTAGCGAGCACAAAGACCTGCCAGGTTTCATTTAACTTCTGCATTGTTTTTGAGTGAAGAATGGGGAAATTATTTTGGCCCAGCACAGGTCATAAATTGAGAGAACACACATCATAAAACGATCAGTGTTGTCACTTAATATTCCCGAGCACACCTTCAAGTCAAATTTAAATCACAAACCAGGGCATACTGTACAGTTGATGGAGTATTATGGTCTTAAATTATAAAGCCAATGGTGTAAAACAGTCACTCTACCGCACCTGCGTATAAAAACACAAAATTTTGAATGTTATGTGTTGTGAAAAGTCGCTCAATTAAGCGATTATTTCTAGTTTCAGCCATTTTTCAAAGAAGCCATGGTGATAATTTTTGAAACGAATTAAACGAATAAGACTTCTGAGATATACAAAAAAAACCTTTAAAATGATTATTTTCATTGATCTGAACCAATCGCTCATCACGTGGGAAGGAGCTATTGCCTAGAATGAATTCTATTGCACAAGATAGCAGTTTTCCCAAAAATCTAGCTAACGCTCATAAAATTGAAAAATTTCAACTGATTTATCAATCTTTTTATTGTAATTTTTGATATCAATTATCATAAAAATTGTTTTTCAGACAAAAACTAAGCAAACACTTCAGTTAATGAAAAAAAAAATAAATTAGATTGTATATTATGCAAGAAAAAACAGGTTAAAACAAAACGGAAAGAACCGACAGCAAAGAAAAACAAAAAAAAAACTAGGAAAGATCAGAGATGTAGCGCTTCAAAAATGTGGGCTGACGCCAATTATTTCAAAGCGAGTTTCATCTGTCAAAAAAATGAAAAATTTTGGACGGTAATTTTTAACAAAGCTCAGCATCATACGTTGCTTGGAAATAATTGTATATGTATAGTTTTTTTGCACATATACTGCAACTTTACGAGCTTGATAACGAACTCCCCTGCTTTTTTATTTAGTTTCGTTTGCGAAATTGTATGAAGCATGAATTGGAAGAATTTTTTTTCTAAACCTTTGATATCGTGTTCGACAACTTTTCAAAATGAAGTGCTTTTGCCGAAAAAAGTTTCTTTTACATTCCAAGATCTGTAATGGATTGATATTTACGGATTCATTACATGGCAGTGAACAATCGCTATAGTGTTTTGTCCAGGATGCACATTAATTTCAAAGGCAGTTTGCACATAATTTCAAAACTTTTAGATTGCTACATCGTAGACAACAAAGAACTAGCTAGAAAAACATATCTTTGATCTTCCCCAGTGTTCTACGTTTTCGCATTTTGTTCTTGTTTTGTTTTTCTGTCTTGGTTCGACATTTTGCTTACAATTTTATGAATGAAGTTACAAACTTATGTTTATAAAAGAACGTCAGGAACGGAAAACAGATGCGTAGACCCAATGAATATATAAATAAATATAAATCAAGAATATATTGTCGAGTTTTATCGAAAAGGCAAAATATGAAAAATTTCATTTTTTAGTTGATTTTTATTTAAGGTGGGCATTGGTGATGAGTGTGATAGATTGATTATGCAGGAGTTCTTGATATCTAAATTACATGGCCTGCAGGCCTAACTGTCTGAAAAGACGGTCTAAGTAGGTGTTTGGTAGATATAGTAGACTGATTTGAGATTTGTATTCAGAAAAAAAATACGTAATTTGTTGGAAAAGTTCGGTAGATTTTTTTGGAGAAGAATAACACCATAACGTGGAGCCTGTAGAAAAATTGATTCTGCTTTTTTTTTGACAAACTAAGCCGTTGCAAATATTGATGTATCCCTGATTAGAGCAGTGTTTAATCATAAGTAAGCTCTCGAAACATCAGATTGATTGGTTTCTAAACAGCTTTGCAAAAGCAAAAAGCAGACTATCAAAATTTGGCCTTAAGGTATTTGTACATTATTTTGAAATACATGTAGTTGGAAAAAAATATTTATCCAAAACGCACTGTTTGTACACACTACGTTTTTGACTTGTTTTGGATCGGGAACTGATTATATTCCCACGCAAATCTTTCTGAACATCTTAGAGATTCCTTGTTTCCAAGATTTTTTTTTACTATAAGTGAGACAAGGGTTCCCGTGGCGGTAACTAGAAGCTATTTTTTTGCCATTTATAGTAAATTTACGCTGACTTAGTAGAATTGTTTGAAGGATACCTACCTATGGTACTTTGAAGGTAGGTAGATGCGACAACTGGAAAAGTTTATACCGCAAGTCACAGATTTTAATTATTACTTGACAAGATATATCCACAACAATCAAATGTTTGCGATAGCAACAATCGGTTTCGCTGTTGCTAAGATTATTATAATATGTCTGATATGTGTTTCCTATAGTAGTCTCAAAAGAATATTTTCGTGACATGGGAAGAAAGTACAATATGAGTAGTTTTTCAAGATATTCTAAATCCGATTCTGCTTTTCAAAGTGGATACATGTCTCAATAGCTACTCGAATGTTGATCTTGCTGGCAACGACTTTCGTCTTCAGTTTTTTTTTTCATTTATATGTTGGTGCTCCCCCTCAGTATGGTCCCGCAAGGATTGAGAGCTTTGAGCTGTCTCAGATTTCTGGAGAATTAGTGGAAAGTGCAGTCGAGGTTTTCCATTCTCCATGCGTCGGTCTTGAGTCTGGTTGCCTCAATTTTAGTTTGTAAAGTTGACATACGGTAGTAAATCATGTTTCAATAATGCAAAAAAGGCGTTCGCATTCTGTTTTTAAGAAAATCCTACTCATACAATTTCATAGTATAGAAAAAATGCCTATATTGAAAGGTAATAGTAAGGAAAAATACTTCTTACACAATTTGATAGTATGGAAAATGCTTAACAAGAAAAAACGCCGGGCAGTGCTAGTTTAGCGCTGAAGTTTGCTTCCTAGGTAATTTTTTAACGTTAATTCAGAGATGGCAATTACTTTTTTTTTAAACAAATTTCATCGCAAACTCAACCCGGACTGGTGGTTAAACTGAACTAAAGTGGTCTTTTTTGTAGAATGTAGAAGCAATATAACAGTTATTTAACTCGTTAACGGCTTTGTAAATTATATTTGCACCGTTTGAGTATTTTTTAAACTTTACTGGGCTAGAGGAAGTGTGTGTGTGAGTGTGCGTGTGTGTGCAGGTGTGTATGAATGAGTGTGTGTGCCTATGAATATTTTCAACATCTTTTGTATAAAAATAAACAAGTATAATCGGTTGCTCTGCCAGTAGCATAAAATGTTCCGAGTATAATGATCAAAAATAAAATTTTCCAAAAAGCAGAAAATCAAAAAGAATAGCAGAATATTTTATATAAAAGAAAATCAAACACTTTGTACTAAAAACCGTATGCAAACAAAAATTAGAAGCTTCGAAAAACAGTTTAAATAAAGGTAATAAAAAGAAATAAGGATACTATAAACAAGACTGCTCGTAACAGGGTTCGTATCCAACTGCCTGTAAGATCTAGTGTTTGCTTTCAAAAATGTGATTAAACTTTTTAAAAAAAATGAAAATTTCTAAACGAGAAATTTTGAAAATCATCTCGACCACACAAAAATAGTCTTGAACAGACAAATTTCGCGTGAGAGAAGACCTTTTACCAAACCAATTCCTACCAGAAAGAAAAAGAAAACACTGACCTTTTACCAGAATCGATAAAAAATTGATTGACAGATTTAGTAGAAAATGGCTTCACGGTTTCTCAGTAAGGTTTTGTTTGTTGTAACCGCTTCCTTTTCAAATTTTAGAACAATTTCGAATCATCTTACTTGAATCATTGCATTGTGATCTGATAAAATTTCAGTCGGGTGAAAAATCTGGCTGATAAAAGACCAGCCTCATTTCGCTTATAGCAATTAAAAAATAGACCGAAAAACATGCCTCAATTCATTTGCAACCGTTTATATGACGGATTAAATTTCCGCCTACACGCACCTAGCTCAAAAATTATTGCGCGCTATTTGCTTCAAATTGCCAATTATCAATAATTAAACTCCCATAATTTTACCTAAACAATTCACAGGTGATTTTGATTGTAAAAGTTGAGATCATGACAGCAAAATTTTTTGAATGATATAAAAGAGTGCCGAAAAAAATTGCTGATAAAAAAAGCCAAATTTCCGTTAATTTCATCGAAAAATCTAACTTCTTTCTGTCGCTCTCTCTCTCACTCGCACTCTCTCTCTCTCTCTCTCTCTCTCTTTCTCTCCCTCAAAAGAAAAAAATACAGTAAGCAGAAATTTAATGACGAAAAAATTTTGATTCGATTAAAAAAAAGAGCAACAACTCAAATTTTAAAAATTTCCATGCTATTTTATATCTTTCAAAGTTTGTTGATTTTTATACAATGCAATTATTTAGCTCGGAATCAGAGTTTCTTGAACTGAAAGGACAAAAATTACATAAAATTAGTAGAAAAAAAACAGAAAAAAGGAGAGCTGGTTGATGTGCAGGCAGCATAAAATGTTCCGACCATAATAAAAAAATTGTCATTATTGAAAGAAACTACAAAAACTTATTAGATAAAAATGATTGAAATAACATTGAAAATTTTCACAGGCAAAGAACTTTTTTGATTTTTTGTTTATGGAAAAAGTATACATATGATAACACACTTGACCCCTTACGAGCTTTCTTTGATGTAGTCAAAAAGAATCCAACCCTAAAAGTATTCAATCAAAGCTAAACCAAATCCTTTTGAAGAAAAAATGAAACCTAATAGCGATTTTTACATCAGGGGCAGATCTAGAATTTTTGCCACAAGTTTCCATAATTTTTTTGAATTTTTCTCTTTTTCTTAAAAAAAAATTCGTAAATTCTTAAATTTATTCAGAAGTCATAGAGTGTATATAAATATTATTTAAAGAATTAAAAAGTACGTGTGCGTTTTTTCAAATTGTTTTCTGGATGTTAGTTTTTTTGCTAAACTTACGTGGAAGACGATGTCCGCTTCGATCTACTGCAACTTTCGGCTTCCCCGTTTGAGATGTGTTCATCTAGCTACACTGAACTACTTCGCAAACTGGTATTTGTTATCTTTTTTTAATTGG